TGTTCTTTAAACTTAAATATTTCAAAGAATTATTGGTCAAAAAAATATTTCAAAGTATTTTTATATTTTTAATATTTAAAATTTTAATTACTATTATTATTATTATTTTGATAAAATCTTATTTATTATTTTAATATAAAATAATGTGTAAATATTTTTATTAAATAAAATTATAAAAATATACTTTTAGATTAAATAAATATTTTTTATTTTTTGTATGAATAAATGTATTATTATTTTTTAAGAAATAATATAATTTTAACATAAAAATCATCATATAAATAATAACTAATTCAATAATACTTTTATTAAGTTTTAATTTGTGTAAGTATATATTGAATTAGTATTTGACAAACTATCAATGTAAATTTTTAATTCTACAAATAAAAGTAAAATATTGACATGTATTCCATTTTTTATACTCTAAAAGCTTTAGGAGTTTAAAAATTTTATTGACTCTACTAACAATAAATAAAATAATTTCTCATATATTATTATTAAATTTTAAAAAAACTATTATTTGACATAAAAAGAATTCTAATAATTTTTAATTATTTATTAACATAAATAACAAATAATTTAAATTTTTTATTATGCATAAACTTTAATATAATATCCTTAATGATTTTTTTTCATCATTACAATTCATATCACTACTATTATTACATTTGCATCCAAATAGTTATACCATCATCATCATCATACTAAGTCGTATACCCTATACTCTGAGATCAACTGTATAAAAGACCAAATAAGATAATCATATTAGATTGTAGTTTGAATCTTCTTATGTTACTTATTTTTATCATCAATAATAACTTGTTCATCTAATTCATTAACCATTATATCATTTTCTTATTACTTGCTTCCATGTATTGCATGGTCTACTGCTAGAGATTTTGATTTCTCCTAGATCTAAAGCTCAATTCTTCTAACTGGTGCATAGCTAGGCCAACGTTTCACATGTTCAAACCATCGCAAACAACCCTCTTTCATCTTTTCTTTAATTCGGACTACCCTTAATTTTTCTCAAATCTTTTTATTTTTTATTTTGTCTCTTTTAGTCTTTTCACACATCTATGTAAGCATCCTCATCTATGTTACATTTATTTTTTTCTCATGTTATTTTTTAATAGTCCAACACTCAGTTCCATATAGCAATGCAAGCCTTACAATTATTTTATACAATTTCGCTTTTAACTTTAAAGATATTTTACGATCACATAACACACCCAACACACTTCACCATTTCGCCCATCCTACTTGAATCCTATGCTTGACATCCCCTTCTATCTCAATATCACTCTAAATAATTGATCCTAAATATTAAAATTGGCTACTCTTTAGTACTGCCTTACCATCCAACTTAATCACACCGATACTCGTTTCCTTATAATTACTAAACTTGCATTTAATATATTCAGTTTTACATCTACTCAATTTAAAACCTCAAAATTCTAATGTACTCTTACATAATTCTAATTTCGTATTCAGGTTATCATTAGTTTCAACAACTAAGACTACGACTCCATTTGTTTCGTAAAAAATGACTTTTGAAAAACGAGTTTTGGAAAATGTTTACATTTTTTTAATTGAAAATTTTTTTTTATTATTTGGATGAGTTAAAGAAAAATGTATTCTGTTGTTTAATTGTTTTCTGAAAAATCTTTTTTTTTTCAAATAATATTAATATAACTATTAAAATATTAAAAATTATTTGTTATTAAAATATATTGAAATTATTTATTATTAAAATTATTAATATTAAAATAATTATATTTTAATAATAATATTTAATATTAAAATATTACGTTAATGTAAAAAATATTTAAAATAAAACTATTTATTATTCTTTATATTATTTATTAATATAATTATAATATTATTTATTAATAATATTTATTATATTATATTAATAGTATATTATTTATTAATATATTATTATAATATTTATTAATTAAATTAATATTATTATTATTATAATTATTTATTAATATATTACAATATTATTTATTAATATAAGATTTATTAATATAATATTATTTTATTAAAATTAATATATGAGTATAATATTTATTTATAATAATATTTATTATATAATATATTATTTATTAATATATTATAATATTATTTATTAATATCATATTATTTATGAATATATTATAATAATATTATTAATAGTATATTATTTATTTATATGATATTATTTATTAATATATATTTATAAGTAAAATTATACTCAAAAGTATTAATAAATAGATCTACTCATAGACAACTTTTTTCTGAAAAATATCTTTCTTTTTTCGAATCCATAAGACATTTCTAAAAAAATAGCTTCATTTTTCATTGATCAGGAAGTCATTTTTCGTTAATCAGCTAGTTTTTTCGCCGAATAAACACCTAAAAATGCAAAAGTCATTTTTCAAAAATCAATTTTTACTAAACAAATGGAACCTATATCATCAACATATAATATACACCATGATATCTTATCTTAGATACATTTGTCCATAACTAATATAAAAAGAAATGGATTTAGTGATGAGCCTTGATATAATCCTAAGGTAATGAGGAAGCTATCTATCACGTCTCTAACCATCCTCACATTCGTTACCACTCCTTAATACATATCTTTAACTATGTTGATGTACTTTAAGGGGACTCTTTTCTTCATTAAGGCCTACCAAAACACATCTCGATGGACTTTATTGTATGCTTTTTTCAAGTTAATAAATGCCATATGTAAATCTTTTTTTCTCACCTGAAAACTCTCTAATAAAAGCCCCAAAAAATGGATCACCTTTATTGTGGAGCATCCTAACATAAACCCAAATTGGTTTTCAGAGATAGTGACCTTATGTCTCAACCTACATTTAATTACTCTTTCCCAAAGTTTGATAGTATGACTCATAAGTTTTATTCCTCAATAGTTCAAACTATCTTGTATATCACTTTTATTCTTGTATAAAGGCACAAGAGTGTTCTTCCTCTATTCTTCTGGCATTTTTTAAGTACGTCAAATTTTGTTAAAAGATTCATCAACTATCTTATCACTATTTCACCCAAGCATTTCTAGACTTCAATAAAAATTCTATTTGGTCTTATAGCTTTTTTTACTCTCATCTTTCTCAAAGCTTCTTTAACCTTATAGCTTTTAATATTATGCATAAACATATAATTCACATCTTGAGAAGGTATGTTTAATGCACCTATATCATGCTTAAAACTGCTATTAAAGAGACTATCAAAATAATCTTTTCATCTTTTCTTAATCTCTTTATTCTTCATTAAAACTCTTCTGTTATCGTCTTTGATGTATCTAACACCATTAGGATCCTTACTCTTCTTATCCCTCATCTTAGCAATTTTAAACAGTTCTTTTTCTTCCTTTTTTGTTTTTAGTTTTCTATATAACTTTTCATGTATCCTACTCTTTGAGTTTTGAATAGCCTTCTTGGTTTTCTTTTTTATTGTCTTATACTTTAGATAACTCTCTTCATCCTTATTGTTCCATAAATTCTTACAACATTTTTGCTTAGCTTTAATTACCATTTTCATATCTTCGTTTCACCACCAAGATTCCTTTCCTAATGGTGTACTCTTCTTAGATTAGCCAAGTATCTCTTTAACAACCTTTTAAATTCCAACTATAATATTTTTCCACATCACTTCTACATTTTCATCAGGCTTCCACTCAATTTCTGTTACTATTCTATCCCTAAACGCTATCATTTTGTCCCTCTTCAAATTCCACCACTTAATACGTAGTTCATGACTCTGATGTCTCTTTTTTAACCCCATGAGGTGAAATAAATTGAATAATAACAATCTATGTTGTGTTGTCAAACTCTCATTCGGTATAACTTTACAATATTTATAACTACTTCTATTCTCTTTTCTCGTAAAAAAGAAATTAATTTGACTAGCATTTAATCAATTTCTAAATGTCATTGAGTGTGATTCCCTTTTTTTAAAACACATGTTTAATATAGTTAAATCAAATGTAGTGGCAAACTCTAGAAAAATATCTCTAATATCATTTCTTTTTTCAAAACTATATCCTACATATACTCTCTCAAAGTCATTACCATATTTGCCTATGTGACCATTTATATCTCCACAAATAAACAAATTGTCTCTATATGGTATAACTCACACTATCTTGTCTAAATCTTCCTAAAGTTTTTGCTTACTCTTTTGATTCAAAGCTATTTATGGGACATATGCATTAATGACGTTAACCTCTTTCTAAAATAAATTTAACAATTAAAATTTTCTCTTTTTTTTTTTTTAACCTCAACTACATTATGCATTAGATTCTTATCTACAATTAACTCCACTCCATTTCTACTCTTATGCTTACCTATGTACCAAAACTTAGAGCTCTATGTTTCTAACTCTTTGGTCTTTTTTTCTACCCACTTAATTTCTTCGAAACATATAATATTAATTCATTTTTTAACCATTATTATTTTTCGAGTCAATTTAACCATTCATCCAATTAATTAATTAATTAATTCTAGGACAAGTTTAAAAACCACAATAAAAAGCAGCAAAATTAAATTTATTTTGGACTAAACTCAAGAATTAACCGGCCTGCATCACCAGATTTGTAGCAAAAATCTACGCATGCACAGAAATCTTATTATCAACAAAGCAAGCTGCTAATTATTTAAGTTTGATCCACAATTATTGAAAAAAAAATCAAATTACTTTTTAATATTTTATAATATATACACCGTGCAAATAAAAAAAATAAAAAATAAATTACTCAGGTCAGGTGAGGTCAGGAACAATTGCTCAAACGCATGCATACAATAGCATGAAGACGGACATGTCCAATATAAAATAAGCATTTCAAGTATTTTTTCAATATTTTTCAAACAAAGCCCACTCGAAAGAAGAATCGCGAGCAATGGTTATGGCAGCTTCTCTTCATATCATTCTATTTCTCTCACTCTCACGAACCAATCAAAGTCTCCCAAAACAAAACCCCACTGCAGGAAATGTTTTCAATTGGGTCTCTTTCTGTCTTCCCGAAAACCCCTTTCAATCCCTCAATATCCCACAAACCACAAACTCCAACTGCCCATTTGCAATCTGTACGTCAAAAATTCGATGGAACTGCCCGCTACTGCTTATGCAACAAATTTTGGGTTCAAGAATTTGATGGAAACTTTCACTATGGAAGTCCAGAAAGCTGAGAACAGACCACTGAATGTACCTTTGATTGCTCCTTTCACCATAGCCTCTTCTAGGCTTGAGAAGGTGGAGAATGTGGCCATCAGGATCGAGTTGAAAAATGGATGTGTTGGTTGGGGTGAGGCTCCGATTCTGCCTTTTGTTACGGTGGAGGATCAGCCTACTGCCATGGCTAAGGCCAAGGAGGCCTGTGAGATGCTCAAGAGTTGTTCTTCCATGACTCTCGGGGCAGTACTGGGGGAGATTGGTGATGTTTTGCCTGGACATCAGTTTGCTTCTGTGAGTTTGCTTTTTTTTTTTTTTTTTTTTGGGTGTTTGGAGTTTTGGGTTCTATTTTGCCTTTTTTTGATAGTCCTCTCTTTGGCTTTTGTTATTGGTTGTTTGGATTTTAACTACTAAACTATTTTACTTGGATGATAAAATTTTTCTTCTGTTTGGTTAGTGAGAAAGTGTTTGTGCAGGATAGTAGCAGTTAAAGGTATAACCAAATTGCTAACTTCCTAGTGAATGTAATTCAAGAAACTGTAGTTGGCTTACTTGATTTGATCCCTCCATACTTTACCCCCTCTTTTTACCATGCAACCAGGTAGAAGGTTTTTGAAGGCCTGTGATCCCTTGTTGCTTATTTAGATCATATTAAACCTTATGGGCTTTGAAGAACTTAAAGATGGCACCTGGTTTTAATAGACCACCAATTTCAACTGAGCCAGCATTTTTCCAATAGTAACGGCTCATTATTCGTTCATAAAACATTCTTACATACAATTTAGATAAATTCTTATCAAACAATAGAACTATGGAAGCGTTTTATATTGGAGTTGGTCTCACCGCACTTATGCATGACTTGCTTTAGAGGCTTATGACTTCTTGCTGGTTGCTATGTTTTGGAATTCACATTTTACCTGAGTGGTTCAGCAAGAGAAAAGAAAATGGCGAAAATAAGAAGTATGTGGTCAAAACAGATGTCTATATTCAATTCCATATTTTAGTTCTCATACATGACTTCCCCTGTTAGACTGTTCTTGCAATAGAAAGGGAAATAGTTTGAGAATGAGAGAGCACATGCGGGCACAACCATACACATTCTCTTTTTTCAGTTTCTTTTTTGAATTCTTCTGCATAGGAGGGTATTTTTTTTGGTTTCTCATAGTCCATTATTGCACTTGAAGCTCAGGTCTATAATACACCTTTTATATCTCAGCTTCATTTCTGAATTCTCACAACCTAGAGGCTTTTGTATCCGTTATATGATTGTTCTTGCAACTGAAGATTGGGGTGAGAGTTTAATCAAACGTATGCATGTGCATCATACAGTCTAATGGAAGATTGTAATTCTCCTTTGTTCTGTTTCATTTTTAAATTCTTGTAAATAGGAGGCTTTTATATGTTTCATTTGACTGTTCTTGCAACTGAAGGTTAGGGCAGGAGTTGAGATGGCATTGATTGATGCAGTTGCTAAGAGCATTGGCATACCTCTGTGGAGACTATTTGGTGGAGCTTCAAATATGATAACCACTGATATAACAGTTCAGTTTCTCTCTTTCTTCATAAAAAAAAATGACTTAATTCTTTTTTTTCATTTCTGTTGCCTTCCCTTTCTCCTTTAAAGAGAAAAAAAATAAAAATCTGGAGAAATCCCTACTACAACTGATGGTCTCTTCCATTTGTTAGTTTCCATCTGTCAGTTCAGCCTTTTTATATGTGCAGATTCCTATTGTTTCCCCTGCTGAAGCTGCTGTATTAGCTTCAAAGTATCACAAACAAGGATTCAAAACTTTGAAGCTTAAGGTGGGAAAGAACCTGAAAGCTGACATTGAAGTTTTACAAGCGATACGTGCGGCCCACCCTGATTGTTCATTCATCTTGGATGCTAATGAGGGATATAAACCTGAAGAGGCTATTGAAGTTCTTGAAAAATTACATGGTAGAGATTGTATAAGAGACACTAAGTTAAGATTCTGCATACCAGCTATGACAAAAAATGAGCACAAAGGAACAAATTATTTGCTTGTGCATGATCTAGGATTGAAAGATTTGTAACATTCTCCAATACCAATTATATTTCAGCACTTTTAGGTATCTCGCAACTTCAGTTTTTTTATTTTTAATATTAATCTTTTCTTTTTCCTGCAGAAATGGGGGTGACTCCTGTTCTTTTTGAACAGCCAGTTCATAGAGATGATTGGGAAGGTCTTGGCCATGTTAGTCATTTTGCAAAAAACAAATATAAGGTATCTGTTGCTGCAGATGAGAGCTGTCGAAGTATGGCTGATGTTAAGAAAATAGTACAGGGGGAACTTGCAGATGTAGTTAACATTAAGCTTGCCAAAGTTGGAGTCGTTGGTGCTCTTGAAATTATTGAGGTGGCTAAGGCAACAGGACTGAATCTCATGATTGGTGGTATGGTGGAAACCAGACTTGCCATGGGCTTTGCCGGCCATCTTGCTGCTGGCCTTGGATGTTTCCAGTGAGTATCATCATCCTTGTTAGAGAAATGGCAGCAGTTGCTTTCATGTCTATATTATCAGCTCTCACTAATATCAGTTGCATTTTGTTGTATGAGTTTATTGTTGTTATTTTAAGGTTTAACTTACAAACGTACTGTACAGATTTGTTGATTTGGATACTCCCCTTCTCCTGTCTGAAGATCCAGTTTTTGAAGGATATGAAGGTATATATAACTCCGGAGACAATATGTTAGGTTTGGCTTGTCTGGTATGTGGTAACTCGACATTTTATCGTAATAAATTCAATATTTGACCATGTTTAATTATTTGTGACTAGTTGACGGAGCTGTCTATAAGTTCACAAATGCTAGCGGCCATGGTGGTTTCCTTCATTGGGAAAATATTGCATGGTAAGCACCTAGTTTACTACCTAATTTGTTGTAAAATGTTTTTCGAGATCCAACATGCTATAACTTGTTGACATTGTACCAGAGGTCACTGATGACTCATCTTATGTTGATCGAAAGCATAGAACTCAGTGGTTATTAATCCTTAAACTGGAGGGTAGATACACATAATCATCATGAAATTAGCAACAATAAAAATGGAAAATCAACAATGCATAGGCAACTAAGTTTTGGTAGAGGTGAACCATCTGCGATATTTATATATATAAAATGATTAGAATTGTTAGTACTTGTATGCTTGGAAAATTTTATTAGCTTTTGAGAATACTGAGTACAAGAGAAATTAGTTTGGTTCCAATATGCTATTACATAACTACTGAGTTATTGAGTTGGTTCTGGAGGAGGTGTCAACTTGTACTCTAGTTAGTCTTTTAAGCATATGAACTGTGCTTTCAAGAGATTGATCCAAAGCATTAGGGTGTTGACCCAAAAAAAAAAAAAAAAAGTCCAATGAATAGAAATCCTCATGTACCTCTCTAGTAAAGTCAAGGATGTCAGTACTTATTGCAGGCACTAACAATTCTGGTTGGCTGACACTTATTCTATCCCTGGGATTTAATTTGTGGATATATGTAGGCTGGAAATGGCAAGATTTACTTGCTTGTTTTTATACTTATAAATTTGTTTAGTTGCTGTTGTCATGGATTAATGTCATTAACTTATTATGTATCTGAAGATCATACTTGAAAGCATCCACTTAGTCAATATTTTTAGTTATTCCTTTTGTAGAACTTTTGGCTCTCAACTAGATATTAACCATCCAACTTTTCTTGCTTGCTTGCCATCTTGGATCATTGCCCTAGGGTCTTTGGTATTATTCTTATCTAAACTTTTCCATATTTCGTTTGAAGTCAGTTTGCTTCTATACAGCTTGTACACAATGAATTGCTTCTATAAACTGCAAATAGGGTTATTTACCTGTCCCATATAGTTAATATTTCAATGCAATTTTTAACTTAAACCGAGTGGAAAATCATTCTCAATTAATGGACCATGTAACTTATAAATAAATTTTCCACCAATATCACTTGCACCTCCCCTATTTTTCTTGACTTTAGGTCTTGCCGGTAAGAATGACGAAAAAAATGAGGTCTAAAAAGTTAGAGGGAGAATTGAAGGAAATGAAATGTTTCTTTTTTTTTTTTTTTTTCAACTAGTGTGCCTGATAGGGTAGGTGAAAAATGGATAAAAAATATCCATTTCTACAACTATATAGGTAGGAAAATTTCTTGTCTATATAGCTATTACTTGTCTATTTCCTTTTTTTAGATCCATCTCTTTTAACATCCTTTTTTTTTTTAAAATTTTTTTCCTTTTGTCTTTTATATGAAGCAAAGTGTTAGAACTTATATTTACAGACGACACCTGATTTTGCTCCTTGAATCTGCCTTGTACTACTTGATCTTTTCCATTTGGACTCTCAATAGGGGAGGTACATAGACACGTATAAATGTTATTCCATTATTATGTTAAAAAGAAAAAATGTTAAGGATTCATAATTATATATTCTCACAAGAACAATCCTGCAGGCTGTAGCAAAAGTCATTATACCATTGTTCATATTATAGGCACAAATGCAACTGCATGCCTAATCATTATATAGTTTTAACATTCATTTCATTATATTCATATCAAATCAAAGCAAAAACTTCAAGAAAATGGCAAAATGTCTACACGAACTAATTCCAGTGACGGGTTTTTTTATGCGCAGGAAAATGAAAAAAAAAAAAAAAAGCAGTGGAAGGGTAGTAAATAAGTGTAAAATGATTTTGTAAGAGTTTGGTAAAAGTAAGATAATCATTGAAAAACCAAAAACTCTTCATTTTCTTGAACACCAGAAAACAGAATGTAAGGCGTGAAGATTAAAGTGAAATTAGTTATGATATTTAGGGGCCCAGGACTGATATGAAGCGTCTACTTTTGACTTGGAAATGGAGCGGACAAGCAGGTTGAATCATGCCTGATTTGCCTTTTTTTTTTTTTTTAATTTTATTTCTTATTATCTGGCAAATTTATGTAGTTATTTCTTCTTCTAGGAAAATGAAAAAAAAAAAAAAGATATGGTAATAATTTTTTATTAAACATCATAGTTGATTATTCGAATCAAAGGATAAACTTTTTGAGGCTTGAGTTTTGTTTAGTCTAAAATATTATTTAATGAATAAAAATATTTTTTTAATTTTAATTTTAAAATATTAATATTTTAATATATTTTACAAAAACTTTAAATTTAGTTGATTGATCTAGTAAAAATTTTCAAAAATTAATTAGATTTAATCTGATTTGATTCATGAATATTTTCACAGTTAAATTTTAATGCATTAAAAAAGTATTATTTAATATAATAATATTAAAAAGTTACAATAATATTAAAGTATTATATAAAAATCAATTAAATAAATAGACAAATCATCAACTAACAAACAAATTAATGTATAATTAAATAAATCTAACATTAAGTTTGATCAAATCTACATATGGTGGAATTTGAATATGGGACATTAAGATTTCATAACCTCATGCTTACCATAAAATTTCATTAGTCAAATTGTAACAAATTAAGGATTATATATTTGTAATTGTTCTAGTATACCGCTATTAGATTTTACTTGTAATTCAAAATTAAGCTTATAGAGAGAAACTTGAAAATAAAAGATTTCTAATGTAATTAAGGATGTAATGATGGTAAATTGTTTGATCAAGTCACGATTCACGAGTGAACCAATAAATTATCTCATAATTTTACGTACATTTATTATAAAAATTGATCTCTCAGTTGATTAACATGTTGTTTACATATGAACAATTAATTTTCTTTTAATATCTTGTTAGGCGTATAACGTTAGTTTTGATTTCATAACTATAAGTTTATTTTTAGCTATAGTTTACTATATTGAAAATCAAACTTGGAGACATGGTAAATTAAGAACGTGCTTAGAGCGTTAGACCAACTTAAGCAAAATCGAAGAGGTTTACAAGTGAGAAGTAAAGGGAGGATATATATACATACATATATATATATATATATATATGATGTTTAGTTAATTAGTTTGAATTTTTTTTTTTTTTTTGGTTCGATGGTCGGCTATCATATCTAACAACCAAATTTTGCTTCCCAACTTTGATGTCTTGTACCTTTGAAGATGAAAAACGTGTTGTCTTTATGGGTTGGGTGAATTGATCTTAATGAAATGATCCTATCTAGAATTATTAAAGCTGATTCATGAATATTTTATTTAATTTACCGAACTTAAACCTTATCCAACTCAATTTGATGAAAAAAAAAAATCAATAATCCAAATATAACCCAAATTCAAAAATAAAATTGAACTAAATTAATTCTAATTTGATCAAATGATCCAATCTCAAACATTCCAAAAGATTAATAAATCAATAATTTAACTCAAAAAATGCTCAAACATGATGATTTAAATCCAAATACCTCGAATATCAATTTTAAAAATTCAAATCTAAAATTATTTGAATTTAAAATGATTTAAATTTGAAGTAATATGAAATAACTCAACTCAAACTTATCGATTAGACCTAATTACTATAGAAGAAATGGGTCAAAATAAGGATAATGATAAGAATAAAGAAGAAGCAATGAGTCAAAATAAGAATAATGATAAAAACAGAGAAATCATGCCTCTTATTAAAAACATAAAACCCAAATTCAACTCTCCTAGTCAAGCATCAATAATATGCTGAATTTATGTCTCGTATCTTGTACTATCTTAGAGTAGAAACCTATTCTATACTTTGTATAAATTTGTAGCTATTACATTGAGTAAATAGTGAAATACATTCTGTCGACTCCTCATCATCACCACTTATTGCATCTCCACCTCCTACCCAACTTTCATCACAAGCAAACCCACCAGTAAGGATTCATCTAATGACTACACACTCTCCAAACAACATATTAAAATTTAAACGTTTGTTTCTTACAACCAAGCATACTTCTATGGAGCCTCTTGAACCAATATATGCAACATAAGCCATGAAGTATCCCCGTTGAAAATCAACAATGCAAAGTGAATTTAATATACTAATGTCTCAAAATACATGAGCTAGTTCCAGTGGCTCTAACTCTTAATGTAATTGGTTGTAAATGGGTTTTTCGTGTTAAAAAGAAGCTAGATAGAAGCATTGATCATTATGAGGTAAGACTTGTTGTAAAAGAATTTCATCAGCGACCGCATATTGAATATAATAGCACATTTGATCCAGTGATTAATTTCACAACAATCCAACTTGTGCTTTCAATTACAGTGCAGCATAACTGGCTGTTGTGACAACATGATATCAATAATACTTTCTTTCATGGTCATCTTGAAGAAGAAATATTTATGAAGTAACCTTCTAGTTTTGTGGACAAAAATTATCCTCATCATGTTTGTTGACTTTGCAAATCCCTATAAGGCCTCAAGTAGGCACTAAAGGCTTGGTTCCATGGTTTGATAAATTTCCTGCTATCATTCAATTTTAATTAGTTCAAGTCAGACTCATCTTTATTGATTTATTCTTATAATGGAGTGAAAATATATTTTTTTAATTTATGTGGATTAGCTCATTGTTATTGGCAACTCTACAATAATAGTGAATCAAATTATTGTAGTATTATCTTTTCAATTCTCTATTAAAGATCTTGGCCTGCTACAGTTTTTTCTTAATACAGTATTAAGGTAATTCCAACATCAACAGGCTTATTTTTATCTCAACATAAGTACATTAGAGAGATACTTGAGCATCATCAAATGCCTCTTACCAAAATTGTCTCTACACTTATTGTAGACATCGATTTTGTCCGAGTCTACTGTTTTTATTTCAATATAATATTAATAATTTTAATAATAATAATAATAATAATAATAATATTTTTTTAAAAAAATAATTATTAATTATTATAAAAAAATAAAAAACAAAAAAAATAAAAAATAGAAAAATAGAAAGTAGGGTGGCTGGCGCTGCTACCGTCCCCCGACCAGCCAACTTATAGCCCTCTGACCAACCCCCTGTTTACCCACGCTCACCAGCCTACAGCCACATACAGCCACCCAGATCCCCCTAATTGGAGTTCTTTAAAATTCCCAGCCCCTTTCCCTTTCAGCTTTCTGGAACCCCTTTTTTGAAAGCTCTCGGACACTCTTGAAAAAGCCTTCAAGCTCAGACGAACCCCCCTCAAAACACTTTCAACACCTCCAGATAGACCCTCATTCTCGCGCATAAAAAACCAAATTTTAAACACCTCCCTAAAAATACCCAAATCGAAAATGAAATAGATCTAGCCAAAGAAAACAAAAATAAAAAAAAACAACACAGTCATCCTCGCAAGGAGGAACCTCAGCACCACAGCCACCTGAAACAAGAAGGAGAAATCGTCAGTTTAAACCGTCCAAAAAAAAAAGAAAAAGATGAGAGATCCGAAACTTTGAAGATAGA